GAACTGGCAAATACCACCTCTGACTGGCCCTGCCCCCATCTATTCTCTGCCTCCCGAGTCCCAGCTGATTGGCTGGGTCTTCCTTTGTTGCCCTGTACAGGAGAATGGAGCTGGAAAGCAGGTTAGTGGGGTGAGGAGGGAATGGAGATTTTATAGTATCCTTCCTCTGCCACGCCAACTAAGCCACACCACCAAGCCATGCCCACAGAACCGGTAGTAAAAATATTTGAATCCCACCACTGGGTGGATTCACAGGAGGTAATGGTTGCATTCCAGAGGAGTAAAGGGGCAATTCAGCCCAGCATTACTGTGTGAGAGACAGAGAGTGAAGACAGCCCCTCCCTAATAGTTCACAGAGTATATTGTAGATGAAGACAGTAGAGTCTTCACTCTGGCAAGTCTTTGTCTACAGGTATGAAACAATAAAGAACGTCTTGGAATAACTATCATGTGTTATTCTTGGTTTTGGGCCTGACATAGCTGAATATTTAAAGTTCTTCAGTGATTGGTAGTGTTTTTATTTATTTCTTCAATTATTTAAAAAGGTTGTTATTGCAAATGCTTATTTAACTTATAAGCCTCTTTAAGGCAGATCAATTCTGTTCGTTCACAGAAGACTGCCAAATGCTAATAAATCATTAAAAAAACCTTAAGAAATAGAATCAGCATAGTTTTAGTTCTACGGATGCCCTGCTGCAAAGAAACTTATCTCAGAGGATCAGGCCAGGAAATACAGTCATAGTATCTTTCTTTTAGTGGAAGTTGTCAATGCAAGAAAATACTTTTCCCTCTGATCAAAAAGCTTCAGAAGCCACCACAGTTGTATAGTGTATGGTATGGTATGGGAAAGAAAGGCAGGAAAAGGCTTCTGTTTATTAATTTTTAAATGAGTTTCTGAATGTATTCATCCTCATTATTTTTGACCAAGACACTGTTTTCAAAGCTTAACAACACGTTATTTTAGTTAACAAGCAGTCTTAATCTCAGTTTCCACTGACACTTATTACCAACTGAGAGAGGAAGTAAATAATACATTATAGAACCTTAAATTGAGAACTGTTACCTAAAGTAAGAAGTGACTTGATACGACATAGTACACCCTGAGATTTTAAAAAAAATGAAATGGTGAGAGTGGGAAAAAATCCCTCAAATAATAATCAGGAGAAAGGCAATAAAGCACTTGAAAACAATAATTTTGCTAAATAGCAGAAAATGATGGTCGCCAGGAAGTTAGATAAGGTCACACAGAGCAATACAATGACAGAACAGTAAGATATCAACCTTCCTGTTGTGAACCACAGAAATCTCTGCATTGTTCCAAAGAAACTTTGAGTACAAAATGGCATATGGCACCGGTTATCTCAGCTTGAATGTTCATAAATTGGAAAAAAATTATTTTCAGTCTATGCTCATCAGATGGCCTTCTGAGTGGCTTGCTTTTGCCAACTGAACATTAGAATCATATTTGTTTGAACATATTCTTCAATGCTGTAGCAGATGAAAATAGTTCCTAATTTGGCTAGTTAAGAAAGATAAAGAGGGAAGTAATTATTTTATCATGAGTGGGACCCTACAAATGTTATACATATAAAATTTCCCATTCATATCTGAAATATCTGGTGGGGGAAGAGTATTTTTGTTTTTAAAACTATGTTTTTTTAAAATCGATTGTTGTGAGCTGCCAAGAATCACTGCATGACATTATGCCAGCGATTTTCCTCCCTTTCTCCCTCCGTTTGTTTTTTCCCTTCTGAAAACCACTGCTTCCTCTGTCTGGACAAAACAATGGAGGATGAACTCCAGATATCCTAGCTTGATTTGTTTTGCTACGATACAGATAACTTTTTGTTTTCTGAAATTCTCCTAAACAAGCCCAAAGGAGAAGGTATAGTCTTGAGAGTTCAGTTCAGCAAAGCATAACTCAATTTGCAGCAGTTTCAAATAAATTTGGTCAACACATATACTGTATTGCTTGAATCAACTATATTTTCAATTTCATTCGCCAAACGTATCTTTATAAACAAATCACTCTGTACTGTATATAAGTCATGATTTTATAAGTAAAATCAAGTCCTTTTATAGTTCAACAAATACATCTGTATCTAAAATACACATTCAACTCTCCCAACATGTTTGCTTTTTTACATTCTATATAAAAAGGAATTTTATATTTTTATTCCTAGAAATATATATAGTGACATCAAGGCATTCTAGATGTTAGAAAGTTACTGCCTATTGATTTGTACTCAGCAGATTTTCTGATTTCCCAAAATTCACTGCAATGTGAAGTTGGGCCAAAGATGACCTTATTTCTAAAATAAATTCCCACAAATCTGTTGGGGTCCTCCTGATTGGGCCTATTTATTTATAGAAAGTTATTAGTTCCATGGGAGCAAATGAAGCCTTTTTTTCTCTAAAGATTTAAAAAATGGGAGAATATTCTCAATTAAAAGAACATAGTGAGAAGAAATCAGTTCAGAATTGAGATCCAGGTTTTTCCTTTTCCACACAAGAGCAATCCAAAGTTTACCTGCAACTTATTGATCTTTTTCATTCACAAAAACAGCTATACATGAGCTGCTCAGGAGATATTACTTTGGTTGTGTAATATTAAGATACTGCTTTTATTAAAAGGGTTGCATTTTCTTTCCCATCACAAATCCTGTAATGAGTAATAATGGCAATTTTGAGGAACGGAAGGAAGAGTTGTAGCCAAGACAACAGTCAGACAAAAAAAAAATGAGTCCAAGGCAGATATGTAATTTGAAAATGTGTCTTAGCCTTGACCTTCCCTAGTATTTATGAAAATAAAGGAAGGAAGGGACTTGCAATATTGATGTCAGCCTCCCCAAGGTAGTGCAGACTAGAAAACCAAAGTGAATAATGTTAAGGTTACTTTAATTATAAAGTTATATCAATCAAATCTTGCAAGTCTGAATATGCTTCCCTCTCTTCCTTTGTCCTCCAGCATATTCAGCACAAATAGAAACAGGATAATTTTTGGAGGATACACACATTGCCAAAAGGATGGACACTGAGGTGGGTGACTTCCCAGGTAGGTATTATGTCTTCTTATTGTAAGTATGTATCACTTACACCTGTTGCAGTTGTTCCTTGATGTCACGATGAAAATACTAGAAGCCAAACCTTTTTTTTTTTAAAGTCTCATCTGGGAAGGTCAGGGTGTGCTGGTGTTGAGTGGGCTCTAAAGCTAGTAAGAAATGTTTAGAAGGCTCTTAAGGGCAGCAGAATGATTTTGGATCCTATATCTAGTTCCGGGCACAACTCAAAAATCAGACAAGAAAAAGCTTGAGTGGGTTCAGAGAAAAGGCACCAAGATGACGTACGAATTGGAGGCTAAGCCCTATGAGGAAGGATTAAAAGAGAAGGCAGAGATATGGTAACTATATACTGTATATATTAAAAAGGCTGACCTGTTTATGTTGAAACTAAGAATCAAATTAGGAGAAAGAAAATTCCAACTGAATATTAAGAGGAATTTCTTCAAGGTAACGAACTGTTATTTAGTGGGAAAGTCTTTAGAACTGTGGTAGGATCACTTTCCCTGGAGATCTTCAAACAAGGATTGAAGGCCCATTATTTAGATATAGTTTCTTGATTCATGCATGGGCAAACACTCCTATTCCATGTACATGATATGAAGGCTGAAATACATATATAGAGGTTCAAAGTCTATGGAGATTCTCAGTCATCCAGGTCATAGTTGTCCCACAGATGCTTTTTCAAGAGGCAAATGGACTTTCTTATCTTTTTTTATTTGAAGATGTTTACTTCTCACCCAAGAAGCTTCTTTAGCTCTGACTGGATGATGGGGAATGGAAGATTTATATTTCTTGCACACAGCTGGTCACTTGCATTATTTTAGAGAGTCACCGAGGCCACATGAAGGTTTGTCTGACTTCAAGAGGTTCAAAGGAAACATTTTAAGGCCGCAAGAGGAGAGACAGAACAACAGTAGAGACAAGTGGAAAAAAGTTGCAAATAATAAGATGTTATTGTAAAAGACTACCACTAAATTTGTATCAAGGTTTTAGCCTTAGTAAGCATTTGGGTTATACTATTATATCCTTTATGCAGTGCTGATTTAGTCTAAAAGCTTTATTGAAGCTTAGACTTAAAGGAACATTCACAATGAAAAAGTTTAAAACTGAAGGAGCAGAGTGGGCAGGAAAGAAGAGGGCAGTTGTCGTCCCATCCCTCCTACTGAATTTGCAGCCTCACTAAGTGGGATAAATGCATATTTTCAACTTGATGAAATTCAAGACAGGTTTAATAATAATAATAATAATAATAATAATAATAATAATAATAATAATA